TTACCTTTCCTAGAATTTGACAATTAACCTAAAATTTTTCTTTCAGGATAAAGATAACTTCGCCCATACCCAGCAGGAAGCAATTTTAAGAATACGACGCCCACATTCCCAAAGAGGTGGTGTGGGGCGGGTGGTTTTTTGGTCTTTTTAATGGGTTTTGGGTCTGGGATAATTTTCATTGTTTAGGGGAGTTGGTTACAAGTTGTTGTCAAGGGTTAGGAAAAAGGCTAAGAAAAAGAGATTAGATTTAAGGTTCTTGTTTAAAAAAAAAAGAGAAAGAAAGAAGAAGAAAAAGACAATTACTAGTTTTAAATACTTTACATTGGATTGGATTGTTTTATATTGTATACAAATTATATATATTGAAATTGATATTGTTAGAAAATGCTATATGTATATCTCTAATTGTACTTATACCATTCATTTAACAATGCAATTTTCTGATCCTTGAATATTATTATTACCAACTATTAGGATATAAAGAAATGAAAGTTAGTAGTTAGACATTACAATAGAACTTATAGTCATATTAGATATGTTTTAAAAATTGAGCAGATATATTTTAGACAGGTCATCTTCAAACCCTTCAGAGATCTACAGAATATGGCATTTAAAATGTTTTAATAACTTCGAAAATTTTTCTTTTTTGTTATGATTATGAGACATGTCGGCTCCTGGCAGTACCAATCTACTTCAGGGAAAATATGGGCATTGAAGAAACTGTGTATGGAGTTAACTTTCATTGTGGCAAAAGTTAGCCACTGGACAACAAAGTATCCTTGAATCAACTGCTGACAAAATGAACAGACAGGACATGAAACAAAGGACTACTGATTCTTGCCAAAACAAGTGTGGTTATGGCTTTATCAAAAGGCATCTTCTGAGGCCAGGACAATATGGCACCATCCCTGAAGTGGCCTTCGCAATTCGGAAAAGGTACAGTGCCCTTTTCTTTGAAGGCAGCTGAACAGGCAGTGGGCCGATGGCTTCTGATGTGCAATGGAACAGCAGCTGAAACAGTTATTCTTGAAGAGTAACTAAGCTCATGCCTTGCAATAGTAAACTGGCATTTGACAGAGGGATGTGGAGAAGAACGGGATGCTAAGATGAAGCCATATATACACAGCCAAGAAGAATGGACAGCTGAATTAAAAAATCAACAACAATTTCCAGAATTTAAAATCCTGAATCATGACATGACACTAGTGGAATTCAGGTGTTTCTGGTACATGGACTGCTCTCACCCAATGTGAGGTTGAACTGTTGACCTTGTGTACATCCTACTTCACAAATGAGTCTGTCAGATATGCTAAGCCTATAGGCTGAAGATGATGCCCCAACACTGTGGAGAAACCTCAGGTGACTGTCCAGGCAGCTGGCTGTTTCTGTCAACTCACAAATTTTTTGGAAGTTGCTTGCATGCACTTTCTGTTTTTATTTTTGTTAGCTAATATATTTCCTTCTTGGGTCTCTGAGGGAGTTGAAGATTAGGTAGTTATAGTTGAAGGTTAGTTAGTTATAGTTGAAGATTAATTAGGATAGAAAGTGAATTAGATACATTTTGGACTTAACAAAATAGGATAGATAATGAAATTATTTTCTCTGAATTTGTCAAATACAAATGGACTAGACATTGTTTAGACATTTATTACTTGTATATATTGTATATAGTCATTGTACTTTTGTATATAGTTTTTCTTTTGTTAGTTATAACCTTTTTCTTTTTTTTCCTTTTTATTAAAATAGAAAAGGGGAAATGTGGTGGTATTTTACTTGTACTGAAATGTGATTTTAATTGTATGTTAATAAATAAAGTTGTCTGGGGGTCAGAGCTATTAGAGTCATAGCAAGTGCATGGCGGCGGTGGTGCACGCCTTTAAGGACCTGGAGGGCGGTACATTCAGGCAGTGACGAGGCAGTCACATGTTTGGGTTTACAACCAATGACAAGGCAGAACAGGAAGACTTTAAAGACAGACACACAGGAAGTAGGTCCTTTTCGGAGAGCTCTCTTGGCTGGAGAGGATCCCTGAATCAGGAAGGGTGAGGCTCTTAGCTCTGACCTCTTGGCTTTCTTCTCTGAATTGGCTCTGTGTTTCTTATTTTATAAGACCGTTGGTTACATCTACAGGATACATTAACTATTCACAAGATCCACATGGAGCACATATTCTACATCATGAGCTCTTAACTTTCCCTCCATGGTGATGCCTTCCTGGACTTCTACCAAGAAACACATGCTCACAGTTTCTCACTAGGTTCATTAGAAGCTGACATTGTAAGCAGGTGTACAAGCTTCTGTGTCTTCCCACTGGAGAAAATACTTGTGGTGACCACAGAAACCTTCTGACCACTGGACTTCCTGACAGAAGCCTCGTGTTTAGGCCAAGTAATCATACCATAATCAGGGAACAGTTCTGTAACATAGTCAAGGTCTACAGAAAACTCTAAATATTACCACATGCTCATTTCACTCTGTATGGTACTGTAAGATACAAACAAATTCATTAACTCTGTGGTCTTCACAGTGGCAAACACCAACAATTCTAGTGCTTGAGAGTTAGATACAAAGGAGCACAGCTAGCCTGTATGAAATGATACTTCCTATAGAAAAAACAAATTAATAACAATAGTGATAATCTGGATGATTTGTACATATTAATATATCATATAAGGTCTTCTGTTCTCTGGCCACCTCTGTGACAGTCCAGTCACCTCTGTGACAGTCCAGCCACCTCTGTGATAGTCCAGCCACCTCTGTGACAGTCTGGCCACCTCTGTGACAGCCTACTTGAGTGTTCCCTTGGACAAAAGAGGAAGTTATCTTTCTGCAGATTTGGAACCTAGCTGTCCATACTGGCAGGACCACGTTTAAATAGAAGTGAGCCAGACCTGTCATGTTCTCAGGCAATGAATGAAAGGTTCCTGAGAAAGTTACCACTGTTGATGCCTCAGATAGTTTCTGTAGCAGCTGAAGAAGAAATTCACTGCATACCACAAAGAAAATGTTATAATGAACAAAATCCAGCAGAAACAGTACGTTAAGCCCACAAAAGTACAGACAATAGGATTACCAACTAACACATGTAAAATAAGTACGTTTGATATCTTTAAAGGGATATAAGATAGTCACACCTGCCTGTAGTCTCAGCACTTGAGAGATGGAAATACAAGGATCAAGAGTTCAATACCAGCCTGGGGACACAAATCTCTTTCAAAACAACAACAAAACAATAAAAATTAAATTTATTTTTAAATCATTATAAAAGGCAACTTGAAATGTAACTAGCTAACAAAGTTTTTAAAGGACAAACAGAATTATTAGGGGATTTTTAAAAAATTTATATTTCTAAAAAAAATCAATAATCAGGAAAAATGATGAATATGTGATATGAAGGCAGAGAGGGGGTTCTGAGGATTAAAGGATAAAATTCGATGACTACTGGGAAATAATGGACAGGAGAGAATAAAGGATGGATCAACCAAAACTAAGGATGTATAAAAGGCCTATGGAGACCCTCTAGCTGACCTACACAAAACAGACTCCTTTGTGTGTGTGTGTGTGTGTGTGTGTGTATGTGTGGTTTGGGGACTTTTATATGTTGCTTTTTTGTTTGTTTTAGGCAATTTTTGTCTTGCTGGATTTTTTTTTTTAGTTTGATTTTATTTTCCTTTTTTGTTTTGTTTTTGTTTTGGGGAAAGAGAGAGAAATAACACAAAATTGAGTGCATAGGAAGGGAAGTGGGGAGGAACTGTGTATTAAGGGGGAGAGGAAAACCTGATCAAAATATATTCTATGGAAACATAATTTAAAAACATCAAAATATAATTTAAAAAAGAGTTAGACCGACAGAAAAAATGAGTCATTAAGTGAAAATCAAAGTGCAAGGCAAGGGATACCTCCAAAGGAATCACCAGTCGGGGAGACCACAGGGGCCTCCAAACAACCAGGCTGCGGCTGTGCCCTTGGTTTTCCACCATAACTCCATGGAAACACCCTATTTCTGAAGACACCACACACTTTGCATCAGGACATAGAGAAATCAGTCTCAAACCAATGAGGAAATACCTTCCATTAGGCTATCTTTCAATGGGTCAAAGGTCCTGTGCAGGTTACTACAGGGAGTGCCTTATCTAGGGCTTTTATTGCTGTGAAAAGACACCTGACCTCAGCAACTCTTATAAAGAAAACATCTAACTTGGGTGTCTCCCTTACAGTTTCAGAGCTTCAGTCCATTATCATCATGGTGGGGAGTATGGCAGTGTGCAGACAGACTTGGTGCTGGCTACCACTTGATATGTAGGCTACAGGAAGTCTGCTGACACACTCAGCGGTATCCAGAGCATAGGAAACCGCAAAGCCCACTCCCACAGTGACACATTTTCTCCAATAAGACCCCACCCACCCCAACAAAGCCACACCTACTAATAGTGACACTCCCTATGAGATTATGTGAGCCAATTACATTCACACTTCCAAAGGGAGAAAAGACTTGAATGGTCTTACCCAGCACTGGACCCTGCATGCCACAATACTGACCTGCTAGGCAATATGTCATATTTGATACTGTAATCCAAATCAAAAGCCCACGATTGCAGAGGTCATGGGCTCTAGTATGGAACCTACTACTATCATTTTGCTAAGTGGTCACTTAGTCAACTTTCATTTTTAATAATTATATTTATGGCCTGGACCTGCATTGCTTTCAACCTCCATCAGAGAAGTTTCTTTTGGCAGTGGTCAGTGGTCATTGCAGAGAAGCAGAACTGGTCAAAGTGCTTAGGAGAAGAGCATATGTGCTCAACCTTAAAGGGGTCATCTCCATAAACCTCTTTCCCCCCAAACCACCACTACCACGCAGGAAATAGGAAAGAAGAGGAAACAGAAAGGTTGTAAGAACCAGAGAAGGAAAAAAAGCACTGTGAAAAGCATGTTCTGGACATGACAAAATTCCTGCACAGATGAGGAGGCATATACTACCACGTAAGGAATTACTACTGTTAGGTGACGGCTGCTGGAAAAGGGAGATTTACTCTTTTGCGGGGGTGCGGGTGGGGGGTGGGGTGGGGTGGGGCAATGGGCTCGGGAGGAGGGGTGGCCACCAGTATGTATCCTTTCTCCAGTGGATGCCCTACCATGCACCTAGGGACAGCAGCAATTAAGAAAACAGGAGTTAGAGAGGCACATGTTAAACAGAAGCAGAGGAAGCTTGGGGGTTTAGGGAAGGATATGATCATATTTTATTTTATGTATATGAGATATATTCAAGAAAAAGAAATATTCTTAATAAAGATAATCAATGAATAGTTTTCTACCAGATTATAAATTAACATAACACTTGGAGTCTACAATATGACATCTTGAAATGGAAGGTAGATATACATATATACATATAGATATGCAAAAAATGTTCTTATATTTATAAATAAGAAGCAATTTATATAAACTAACTCCTGAAACAAATGAAATGAATATTTCAAATATTCACACTTATACTATCTATCAGAATGATCTAGTCACTTTCAAGTGATCTTAAGTTGTTGATTTGCTTGTGTTCTCTGCATCTTAGAACACACAAGTCTTAGCTGTGTTCATTATTACATCACTAGCAGTCAGCTTCTAGACTGTTCTGTTCCTCTTCCCTGTCTAATGCTTGCTCAAACACTGCCTTGTGCATCTTATCCTTAGCTGTAAACTCTATTGAAAAAGAGAATAGCATTGTGAAATGAGAGAAAAGCCTTTGCACACAATCCTCCCAATTCTGCACCAAGTTAGAGTATGAAGGCTCAGAAAACTTACAGTTTAGATGGGCCATCGTCAATCCATTGCCATTTCCTTGTTTTTGGGTCATATGATAACCCAATCCAGTAACTGTTCGGCTTAATTTGGAGCTGAAGGAAATTCTGTAAGAAAAAAAAAAGAACTCATCTGATGATAAAATTTCCCCATGGCTGGTGAAAAAAGAACAACATAACAGGCCCCAGCTATTGTTATGTCAGTTCTCTGCTGTCCTGTCCTCCAGTGCCTCCTTCCCTCCAAGCTCATTTTTAAAGTGATTTCCCATAAATGAGTAGCTCATTTATGTCAAAACCAATGTTAGTTATGTAAGTTATTTAAAATGAAGACCTCAGGTGTCTAGGGATACTAGGTTCATGAAATGATTTATGTCTTTAGACCAAGTCTCACTATATAACCAATGCTGACCCTGAATTCACAATATTACTGCTGTGACTCCTATAAACCAGCACACTGCGTACATGGCTCATTAAATAATTTCTGACACTATTTGAAATTATTCAAATGTGCATTCCCAAAGACCACAGAGGCATGTGGGAAGTGTTCATATGGTAAGTAATGCCCTGTCTTCATAGCAAATTCATTAAGAGGAAAAGTACTGTGTGAAAAGCTGTTCATTAAGCTCCATGCTCCAGAGAGGAAGCTGTTCTGAAGTTTAGACTTGGAAGTGACAGAAATTGAGGAGGAAAGGGACAGATATTTGGAAAACCTTAGTGTCTTACATGTGACATGCAAGTGGCATGATATCTACTTAAATTTTGAACATATCTTAAAATATGGGTTTAAATTTAATTATGATTAATATATCAAATGGCAAATAACATAATTATTTGACATTAAAAATTATTTTGTTGTAATTTTTATACATGTATTAAATTGCTGTACAAATTTTGTAAAATGTTCTAAATGAAAAAGTTTTCAAGCTGTTCCTGCAAGCATTTCTCTAGAAAAATATTGTCTTCATATTGGAAGAGGTTTTGTTAGGAATAATTTAAATAGAAAATGTCCACATCTTAGCACCTCTTTTTCATTTAATTACTCATTTCTGAAAATAGACATCTTTTAAAAAAACAAAAAATATAGTATGAAGTAAAGATGATGGAGAGTTTCACTGACAATCCCGTTGGAGCTACCTGGTAAAACTACTTAGTTTCACAGTTCTCATATAATTTCCACTTTGCAAATTGCCCCAGAGGTCAGTTACTTTCTCTGTCATCTAATTCCTTATCTCAGGCAGTCTCACATGTGGGCTCCAAAGAGCAAGCCCTAGACTAAGACGTCACTGGGTGTAGTTGGCACTCTATGGAGATACATAACTGTTAGTCACAGGATGTGCTGTACCAAAGGTTTAAACTTATTTTGGGAAAACATGCTTCTCTGAGGGACTCCCTTGCAGACTCTTGAGAAAGAGAAGAGATTACAAAGACATGGCTGTTTCTTTAATGAGTCTCCTCATAACGGACCCTGTGTCCTGACACTAAGCCAGCAGCAGGAAGGAGTAGCCTAGGATACTCTTACTGCACAGGTTTTGCTCACGTTACAGGCAAACCTTGTACAACACTTAGAGGTCTCTCTTTCAATAAACCTGCCCGGGCTTATTATCTCACTATCCAAGGGTTAATGACAGAGTCTAAGAGAAGAAATGGACATGTTAAGAGTCTACAGTACCAGTTCATCATCATCATCTATTGTCAATAGGGATAAGCTGCAGTCCCGGCAGGTGTGTTTACATTCACTCCAGCGTTTATTGTCCATGATGAAATAATAACATTTTACGCCACAGCAGAACCAGTGTCCTTCAACCCGTTCGCCTACAACAGAGAAGGTAAATGGTGAAAATTCTTATTTTCTAATATTCTATTATTAGATCACTGTTTTAATTAAACATCAATAACTAAGTAAAATTTCAGAGCTCTAAGAAATTTAAATTCCAGAATGTTAAGAGACCCCTTTACACCCAGGCTCTATGGAGTGTTTTTTATAGCAGTAGATATATAGAAACAGCTGATGTGTCCACTGTGGATAAGTCAGTAGAAAAAAAAAACGTAGCACATGCACACAAAAGAATATTATTTATTCTTTAAATTGGCTGGGCATGAAGACTTATGCCTATAACCTGAGCACTACACGGAGTGAGACAGGAGGATCAGCACCAGTTTGAGGCCAGCCTTGGCTAAGTAGTGACTTCCATGTCAGCCTTGGCTATAAAGTAGATTCTAAGACAGCCTGGGCTACGGATTAAAACCATGTTTAACACCTAAACACTTTAAAAGAGGTGCTCAACCAAATGATGAACATGGATGAGCTGGAGGATGGTGTGCAAAGTGAAAAAGTTAGGCCCAGGACCATACTTTATGGCTCAACTCAGATGAGGTTTTAACACAGCCCAACTCTAAGAAACAGAGGTTTGTGAGAGCTGGAGTACTGGGAACAAACACTTACTGCACAGAGACAGTTACAAGGATGACTGAATTCTAGACCTACAGCAATGCACTGTGTTCCCAGTTCATCCTCACACACTGTGCACTTAAGGATGTGCTGTGGTCCGTGTTAGATGCTCTTAACTTAAGAGGAATAAGAGACACATGAGGGAGCTTTTGAAGGTGCTGGTCTACTCTCCTGATTATATTGATTCCTTCAGTGATAAGCCCACATACCCAAACACGTCAAGTTGAATACATTAAAATGTGTGTGATTTGTGTAGCAATACTACCTCAATATGATTATTTTGTTTAGTGAGGGACTGAGGATGGCCATGCTCTATTATCAAACTGTATCTACAACCTTTGTTTTCCTGTGAAGAGGTATCATTGTGTAGCTCAGGCTAGCCTGGAATTTGCTGAGCTGTCCAGATTGTCATTAAATTTATAATCCTCCTGTCTCAGCCTCCTAAGGACAGGGACTACAGCAATATGCTCCTATTTACAGATGATAAAGTTATTTTTAGAAATGAGACATAATATTTTTCATGGGTCTGAAATATTTCAAAAATTTTTGGCACTTTTCCTATCATATTTTATAATGTGGCAGTTTGAAAGATATTATTATTCCTTGCCTAATAATGATTTTTAACCCCTACCATGGTGTAGTGAGATCATATGAAAAAGCTCTTTATAAACTCTAAATTCTGAAAATAATATTTAATAATGAATGATAAACTGTGTCAATTAAAATTAACCAGTCACAACACAAGGTAAGAAAGGTTCCTTGTAAAGCTTGATATTTTCATCTTTCTGGCCTCATTCACTGTGTCACTGACAGAGTAACACAAAGTGTGGACACCGTTTTGAAGTTTCATAACGTGCTGTAGTGAGCTTCACTATGGTCACAAACAGGCCAACTCTCTCATACCAAAGCAGAAGGAAAACACACATTTCAGCTTAAGAATTTGGTGAACGCACTCTTAATGGAAACTTCCTTGTTCTGTCAGTAACAAAGCTGGAGATCCAAATTTGCCCACAGACAAAAAGAACCTGAATTGCCAGTTGTGCTGACTTACAATTACATCCTCTTAGAACAGTAGAAGCCAGAACAGCCACTGAGTTTCTAGAGGCTATAAGATTCTCTGAATTCAAACTGGGATATCTGGGATTCCAGGCCCCTCCATGAGATAACGAAACCCCAAGCCATTAACCCACAAATCACCAGCATTTTAAGCTGCTAATTGGACTTCAAATCTTCAGAGGGAGGAAACATTAGAGAGTAAAGCAATTCTTTATTCAAGATCCTCTCCTTACCTCTGTGCTGTTTGGAATCTACAACAAATTTAGTTTCCTGGTAGCATCTGTTCAGTGTTCTCTTGAGTGTGTCCAGATACATTTTGAGGGCAACATAATCTATAGATTTATTTTTCAACATTTCTTCAATTAAGTACCTGTCATTTTGCATGGTGCTGTTCTCTTGATGGGGAATATTTAGAGTTCTCTGCAATTTATATATTTCTTGACTGTACTGAAAAACTAAAATTAGTAACAGATATAACTCAAAAATGCTCATAGAGAGTAAATATTTAATTTAAAATTAGAGAAAAAGCTTTATATTAACAACCAATGCAGATCATTACTTTAATTGCTATTTTGACACTTAAAAAGTAACACTTCAATTAACTCACTATAAGAATTAAAACATCAAATTCTCTCTATTGGCAACTTCAGTGTAAAGCAGATGAAATAGCTAAATAATATTACAGTGGAAGCACCATATGTTCTGATTAATTTGTTGTTTTCACAGCACAAAACTAACAAATAAATATTTAAGAAAAATATTCAGAAAAACTAACACAGCATTAAAATTTCAACTAAGAAACACGAAATAACAGCACAGTTATCATTGGAGAATATGGACTACCCACAGGAGGAAGATAATAATATGCAGACATGCAGCTGTGTTGGAGCCCAGTGGTTTTCTCTAAGGATGTTTATTAAAGGTAAAGCTGAATCTCCAGAACTTCTACTTCTGTGTACAGATTCAGTCTTTTCACTTAATCATGTCCTCAATATGAGCTGGGGAAAAATCCACAGAATGACATAATTTATTTTGTACAGCTGTTTCTTATAGCATGTATATGTCAGATTCATAATAACCTGAGCTCCAAAACCAGAATATCAACACATCTATTATCAGAAGGAACATGATCATGAGTAAGATAGAATAAGACAGTCAAAGGCAGCCCCAGTCATTGTAATGTCCAAGAGTTCAGAGGTCCAGGGGAAAACAAAAAACTTACAAATTACAGCCCACCTGGAATGTCACCTGGTGACAGACAAAATAATGGACAAAGTATGATCTTTGTGGCATAATTAGTGTCTGTTGGCATTACCTAGGCGAATGATGTATTTGAATTACTCACTGTATATCAGCCAGATTGAGATTGCCATCATCAGAAGTAAGCAGAGGATCCCGAGACCCACTACAATGAAATGTGAGGAGATTGAGCATTCCTAAAGATATCAAAATAATCACCAGGACCATCCCATGGTCCACCACCACCCATAACCTGGGGCATCATATGAAACAAAGGGATGACACCTCTAATGTTTCAAACAAACTTCCAGAATACAAACCAACTCCTACACCTAAGGTTTGGGGAACATCTCTGAAGAGAGGAAGAAAAGATTGTAGAATACAGAGACTCAGGACATCTTCTGCAAGACAGGGAAGCTGAACCCAGGCAATCTCAAGAATCTCATAGCCTAAGCAAGGCACACCCAACCACAACACCAGAGGACATGCCTATATGGACACGGAAAATCTCCACATGACCGGACTCCTAGATGAAGAACTATATGCAAATGATGGCAGGTGAGAGAGAAAACAAATCTCTCCTAAGAATGAGCCCATAAGTGAATATCTAATACCAAGTGGTCAGTTCTAAAACATACTCATGTGAACAATGCTAAATGGAATCACAGACTGCATATATACACACATGCAAACATGTAACTAATAATGAAATGGAGAGGAAACAATACAAACAATACATTAAAGTAGGAGGGTTAGGAAGTACTGGAAGGGTAACAGAGTTAAGGGGGAACAGGATAGGATAATAATGGATTTAAAATTATATGCAATACAAAAGTCTTAATAAAGCCCATTATTTTATATAATTAATAAATTCTAATAAACTGTAAAATGAAAACTTTATGTTTTAGATTTCTGGATGACATACACCATCTGTTTATAGCCTATGTATGGAAGCAGTTCTTTAGGACTTCACAAAATTTCTACCCATTCAGGCTTGAACTCTCAGCCTCACAGAAAGCTGAAATGACAGTCTTGAGCTGTGTCATCCAGGTGTACATAGTTTCAAAAGTTCATCTTACAAAGCACTGAAGGGATAAGCAAGATGAAGGTAGGAAACTCCAAAGTGCAATTAGCAGCCCACCAAGAGATCTCAACTCAGCATGGGGAGGAAGGAAAGATCAACCAATGGCCTTGAGGAACTGGGAGCCAGTAGGAATATTCTGAACTCTATAAGGGTCCATCCTTGAAGACTTCCTAGGAGTCAGCTCTTTTCTTGTCTATCAATTCTGTTTTTCTCAGGAAAATAAGACATTTATCCTTGTGCATTTGAAGTCTTGAGTTCTAGGGTCCCACATCTGATTATCACCATACTAATGTAGCAAAAGTGTTCAGTTTAGAGTGACAATATTTGAAGGGCAAGGGAAACAAAGAGCAAAGAATTTCCACTCCCCTCTGACCTGGCTGTTGTTGCTGATGATTGGCATTGAAGTTTGATGAAATACTTGGAATATCCTGTTTTAGTAAGAGCTTTTTTTGTTTGTTTGTTTGCTTTTGTTTTTCTTTTTTTGTTTGGTTTTTCAAGACGGGTTTCTCTGTGTAGTTTTGGTACCTGTCCTGGATCTTACTCTGTAGAGCAGGCTGCTTGGAACTCACAGAGATCTGCCTAACTCTGCTGGGATTAAAAGTGTGAGCCACTGATGCATGGCCGAGAGCTTTGTTTTTAAACACATACTTTGCATGTTTTTAAGATTTTTTTCCAGTAGAAAATTTCTTAATAAAGAAAAAAAAAAGATAGTGATCTGCCATACCCATGCTTTTGATGTGGATATATGAAAGCAGTAGAGGAAAACATCATCAAATAAGTGTTTACAGCATCCCACCTAAGTCAGTGGAGGAAGATGTGTTACAAACGTGATGCTGGAGATACTATTTGAGAGTGTTTAGGCCAAGTCTTCTCTCTCCTCACCCTTTGGCTCTTTTCACAATAAGGAACTGTCATGGAATAAACACTTTTAACTTCAAAAAAAAAAAAAGAAAATTCAATGTTTCTTCAGACTATAGTTTCTTCTTTCTAAAGGCCACACATTTTTAACCATATTTTTTAAAAATAACTGAAACCTGATGGTTTCTCAAATTTATAAAAAAGTATTCAAGGCAGGCAAGGTGGCTCACAACTGTAATCCTAGAACTTGAGAGGCTGTGCTAGGAAAATCAAGGATTCTCGGCCACCGTTTGCTACACAGCACAGTCAGGATTGGTTCTGGCTACTGGAGACCCTGGCTCAAACAAACAAAAAACAAACAACAATAATAATAATAAAAAAAACTAACACACAGCAAAACAAAAAACAAATGAAATTATTGATTTTTTTTCCTGTCTCAAAGGTTATTTTTTAAAAAGCTTGTAAGTCTTTACTTCTTCTCACCGTAACGGCCTATTAACAGCTGACAATCAACAGTATATGGCTAGGACAGTTTTCAACAACTGGAGTGTACAGTGAGTAGGAAGAGAACATTCACCTTTGTGGCCAACCTCTCTGGGACCTTGAGTCTCATTAGGCTTGATTGGAGTCTGTGACTCTGAAGAAGACTCAAAAACTCTTGAGTTTGAGTAAGTCACCTCCTGATTGCTCATCTTGAAAGGAAGCAATGAAGGTTTAAATTAAACGTTGTCACGGGATGATGTCTAGGTAAAGAAAAAATTAAAATGTCCAAGTTTAGAACATTACAGGATTTGGTGCTGGGGTAGGGTAGAAGTTTATGAACTTCTTTAAGGACCTGAATTCTGTAAGGAGGGTGGATGGTAGCTGGCTTCCACAAGATGTGAAATACCTTTTTAACTAGTGGTCACATCAATGATTGTTGGCATGTATGGGACAATGCCTTGAATGGTCAAATAAAGGACTGGGTAGTGACATGCTTGACAAAACTGGTGCCACCTAAGTAACTGACATAATCTAAAACTATTATTAACATATCAAAAATAAAAACTTGCTTAAAACTAAATCTCTTTGCTTTTAAAGCTTTTGTAAATGTTGTGATACACACATAGATATAAAATGATCTTGTCATCTTTGATCACATTTACAAAGTGTATGCCAGAAACAATGTCCAAAGGATTATATGAAAGGAATACTACAGGAAATTAAATTTTCAGAGTTTAAATGTGATAATAAGTCTCCTGAGTAAAAGCCAAAACACCTGTATTCATATTCGCAAAAGATTCCATGGACATGAACATTCCACAAAGAACAGTATATAGTGTATGATATTACTCTAGACCCTATATAAAAGTAAAATTGTTCTACAGTGGTACATTTCTCCCCCACCCCACCCCATCCCCCACTCACAAATTATTAAATCATAACTACTTATAATTTACCTTGCTTCTTCCATTAAACAGTATTTGAAGGGGCAACCAACAAATAGGTAATATTAAAAAAAATTGTCGATGTACTCAATTTATTTCTAGTATATCTTAACACATCATAATTAATGAAAATTTCAAAATTCATTTACAATTTCCCCAATTCTCTAAAAATAAAATGGTTTCCTATTATAAAATTCTAGAGCCGGGCGGTGGTGGCGCACGCCTTTAATCCCAGCACTCGGGAGGCAGAGCCAGGCGGATCTCTGTGAGTTCGAGGCCAGCCTGGGCTACCAAGTGAGTTCCAGGAAAAAGCGCAAAGCTACACAGAGAAACCCTGTCTCGAAAAACCAAAAAAAAAAAAAAAAAATTCTACAAAGTGCATAAAAACTATGTAAACCACTTGAATTAATTACAAAGTAAATAATTCTACTGGTCAGTCTTTTTAGACCACAGACAACAAAAATTGTAGCACAGTAAGAGAAAATACCTTTCCTGAAGTTAACTCCAATGGTCACAGATTGACAATACAGTTCTAATATGATCAACTGTCTTTCCTATATGTGACTGTCATGCAGGCCATTTTTAACTGAATGGCATTTCTCTTGAATAAGTAAGATCACATGGTAGAGATATCTGAAGGAATCAAAGTAGCTGTTACCTGTACCCCAGTCAGGTGGTGATGCAGGTGGAGGGAACCGAGGATGAGGAACAAGTTGTTCTTTCCAGCTCTGTATCCCGCCAGAGGCTCCAAATGAAACACGGAAGAGTGTGTCTTCTGCAAGATAATTCAGCTCTTAAAGTTCTGCCCCTCCGTTTTACCCAAGTGAAAAGAGGAAATTGTATGTTGAGAGCTGATACTGAAAGATAGGAAACGTGAACTATGCATTCCTGCATATGAAATGATCCCCACTTCACATGCAGCAGAATCATGTTTGTAATCAGTATTTGATGACTGAAAAGATGAAGGAAAATACATTTTGAGAAAACCCTGCCAGGATCTTCAGCTAAAACGTAATGTAATTAAAAGAAGCCATTGGTAAGAAGAGATGACTGCAACAGCTCTATATAAGTAGGAGGGTGTATGGAGCAAATGGGATGACTAAGTTCTTCAGGTCCAAGTTTTAATAATTTTCAGGAACTTTGTCTTACATTACTATTTCACAGGATTATGACTTTTTGTTTTTTGAATTGTGTCTATTGAAAGTAAATGCATATTAGGAATGCTGTAAGACAATCACATTTCCATAACTGAAAACTGATGGTTTCTCAAATTTGTAAAGAAGAATTCAAGGCAGGCAAGGTGACTCACAATAGCAATTCTTGAACCTGAGAGGCTGAGCTAGGAGAATCAAGGATTCTCAGCCACCCTTTGCTACATAACACAGTCAAGCCTGGTCCTGGCTACTTGAGACCCTGGCTCAAACAAACAAAAAATGAACAACAACAATTTAAAAACAACACAAAGCAAGACAAAAAGCATGTTGTATAACTAATAGTGACCTGAAATTCACTATGTAGCCCAGGTTGGATTCAAACTCACTGTTCTCCTGCCTCATCCTCCTTAGGTCTATGTTACTATGTTACAGATACACATTACTGAAACAATTTATAGTGTGTGTGTGTGTGTGTGTGTGTGTGTGTGTGTGTGTGTGTACGCGTATATGTGTGTGTGTGTGTGTGTGTGTGTGTGTGTGTGTGTGTGTGTGTGTGATGTTTATGATGCATATGATGGCTTCAACATGGCTTATATAAACAAAAACTTACATGCAACAAGGCATGGCAACACACTGCTGCAAC